TCATGAAAAATTAACTCATTAATTCAGAAAAACCGAGCAAAATTTTTTTTCTCATGAAAAATTAACTCGTTAATTCAGAAAAACAGAGCAAAATTTTTTTTTAAGAAAAACTAACTCATTAATTCAGAAAAACAGAGCAAAAAAAAAATTTCTCATGAAAAATTAACTCATTAATTCAGAAAAACAGAGCAAATTTTTATTCTCATGAAAAATTAACTCGTTAATTCGGAAAAACAGAGTAGATTTTTTTTTCTTCAAGTGAATGCAATACGCCTCCGTAGCTTTTGAATGAAGAAGAATGTGGCTTTTTTTTAAAAGATGCAAAGGTGAGGTCATTGTTCCCTCACAGGGAGAGCAAGTTCAAAAGCTCAAATAACTAGAGCTGTCCTGTGCTTTCTGCAGCTAACGGTCAGTGGAACAGGGGGCGTGTCCACAGAAATGAAACCCGACACTCGTGGATGCCACAGGCTGCCTGCGGTCATTTGCTCTGCAGGATAACGGCGCAAAGACTCTTAAAAGGCAAAAGCATTTTTCAAAACTAAAAGCTAAAAGCAAACAACATTCATATTGTGAGGAGCAGAACCGTTGAGGCAGTGGATTTCAGACGAGACTGAAAGAAAATGGATTTGGAAATAGTTTACCCAAAAATGTACTCACTCTCACATCATTTCAAAGCCTATCTTCTATCTTCCAAGAAACACAAAGATTTTCTATGTTCCAAGGAACACAAAAGGAATTTATAGCAGATTGTTTTTCCTCTTTTTTGCACCGACTGTATTCATCTTCTGAAATTAAATATAAAGTATTAAATTAGTCTACATCGCATGCACTAGATTCATACTAGAGCTTAGGGACAGAGCAAAATCATTTATAATTGAATGTAAAAGTATGAAATATAACATGTAATTATTAAAATCTTTCAGCTCTCAAATTTCCGAGTGCAATCAAATGTGCAAATGTGCACAAAATTATCAGATGATGTGACTTGAATATAAGTCATTTATGGACTACACTTTCTGGAATTTGACTGGTTGGTCGTGATCACTGTATGCATTATTATATCATTATTATTAATAATACAACCATGAAAATGTATTTAGTTTAAATAAGTAAAAAAAAATAAGGCATGTTTAAAGGAGTAGTTCACTTTAAAAAAAAAAAAACGTTTGCTGATAATTTACTCACTCCCATGTCATCCGAGATGTCCACGTCTTTCTTTCTTCAGTCGGAAAGAAATGAAGGTTTTTGATGAAAACATTCCAGGATTTTCTCCATATAATGGACTTCAATGGGGACCAAAAGGTTCAAGGTCCAAAATGTACGAATCTTTTCCCGAGTCAATTCGTTCATTTCGTTTGGTTGAATGAACCAAATGACACGAAAAAAGATTCGTTCATTTTGAGTTCGAACAGGGGAGTCACGAACGCGCATCACAAAACAGAGCAAGGCGAGCATTTTAACTTATAAAACTTAAACTTTGTTATTTATTTATTAAATGGCCGATCGTTTCGCTTGATAAGACCCTTATTCATCGTCTGGAATCGTTTAAAGCCCTTTGAAGCTGCACTGAAACTGTCTTTTGGACCCCATTGAAGTCCATTATATGGAGAAAATCCTGGAATGTTTTCATCAAAAACCTTAATTTCTTTTCGACTGAAGAAAGAAAGACATGGTCTTCTTGGATGACACGGGGGTGAGTAAATTATCAGCAAAAGTTTTTTTAAAGTGAACTACTCCTTTAACACAGTATTCACTAAAACAAAGTAGAAAAAAGATGGAGGCCTTCGCTCGCCACGTTTTAGGGGGAAAACACATCAATTGTAGGGGGCCTCGTACAGAGCCTTGGGGGACCTCCTTTCAAAACGTTACAGAAATGCAGTCTATCCATTGTTAGTCAAATATTGGTGCAATTGGTTATCAGATAATGTGACTATGAATATAGTGCACTACACTTATTTTGCACTTCTGGAATTTGAGTGGCTTTGATCACTGTGAGCAGCGTAAACATTCTGCTGAATATCTCGCTTTATGTTTTACAGAAGAAAGAAAGACATTTGGGTTTGGAACGACACGAGGGTGAGTAAATGATGAAAGGATTTCCATTTAATAATATACGTGAGTCGCAAGGAGAGAAGTCAGGCTACCGAAGGACAGTAACGGAAAGAAAGGGGAGCTCAGGAGTGAGAGATATGTGTGTGTGTGTGTGTAGTGAGCTGTAAAGGATGGCAGGTTGCCTCGGCTCTGTGCCGTGGATGTGTTGGCCTTATTTGGAGTCAGAGACTCTCTGGTTGTTTACCCAGCAGGTCAGAGGGCCGATACACCGCAGCACTGCAGTGCAAACACTCCGCCTGCCACCGAGAGGAACTCATCAGCACATATCACACACACACACACTAGATCACAAGATTTATCTCATACAAACACTCAGGCTGGAAAGGCTAGGTGATATAGCTAATAATATCTCACCAAAGATTCAAAATACAAGCAGCAAACAAAGGAACCAAGAATGAGCGAGCTATAACGAGCTATTTGCCGTTCTTGTTAATAGTTGCGGTGTGGACTCGATACACTGTAAAAAATGATAGTGATTTTAACGGTAAAAGACTGAAAATGCTAATGTGAAAAACTGTTAATTGGTTAATAGAACCTTTCCTTACTATATACGGTAAATAACTGTGATAGAACTAATGGTAAATTTCATTGATAGTGATTTTAACGGTAAAAGACTAAAAATGCTACAGTGAAAAACTGGTTAATAGAACCTTTCCTTACTTTATACGGTAAATAACTGTGATAGATCTAATGGTAAATTTCATTGATAGTGATTTTAACGGTAAAAGACTAAAAATGCTAGAGTTAAAAACTGTTAATTGGTTAATAGAACATTTCCTTACTTTATACGGTAAATAACTGTGATAGATCTAATGGTAAATTTCATTGATAGTGATTTTAACGGTAAAAGACTGAAAATGCAAAAGTGAAAAACTGTTAATTGGTTAATAGAACCTTTCCTTACTTTATACGGTAAATAATTGTGATAGAACTAATGGTAAATTTCATTGATGGTGATTTTAACAGTAAAAGACTAAAAATGCTACAGTGAAAAACTGGTTAATAGAACCTTTCCGTACTATATACGGTAAATAACTGTAATAGATCTAATTGTAAATTTCATGTAATTTTACTGTAAAATACAGTTAAATTTACAGTTTTTGAAAGTTGTATAATTTACAGTGAAAAAGCGTAAATTGACATTCCCACAAAACCTTGTTACCTGTAAAAGTCTTGCTACTGTATTTTATACGGTAAATTTCTGCCAACCACAGCTGCCGGTATTTTACCATAAATTGAACACATTTTTTTTTTTTACCGTGTATTCTTTCACATTCAGAACAATGTTTTTATCATTATATTTATCATTCTTGGTGTGAATGGGCCCTTACACAGCATTTACCAATACAAATAGAGGGGAAAAAAACACGTTTTGGGGGAAAACACATCAATTGTAGGGGGCCTCGTACAGAGCCTTGGGGGACCTCCTTTCAGCGCGCTACAGAAATACAGTCTCTCCATCGCTAGAAAATGCATCAGCTTTTATCTTCAGATCCAATATGCTTCTGAATACACAGCCCCACATGTGTGTGTGTGTGTGTGTGTGTGTTTGTCTCCTGAAAGTGAACTGATCCATAGCAGGAAGGAAAGCAGACGGACAGCTATTAGAGTGCAACTGCACTGTCTGATAGGAATCTACAAAGACCATGTTTTATACAGTACATTCACTAACAAATATTCATAATAATAATAATAAAAAACAGCATTAAAAATAATTAAATATAATTAATAAGGAAAATTCAAAATTGTCAGTTGATTGTATATTTCCACCAACAAAAATCAAGAAGACACTGACAAACACCCTCTGTCCATCTCTTCTCTATCGCAGCTTGTGTTGGTTGAGTCCTGTGAACACAATGGAGGTCCAAAGCAAACAGGCCCCGTGTTGCAGAGGCTCCCACGCCTGCAGGATTTGCCCACAATGCACTGTGCCCTCGAGCGACTCTAACTCGGTCTGGCACGGCAGATCTCCGGCATTCAGACCCGGATCAGACCAATCAATAGAGCTCACGGCACATTCACACCCATTCCAGCCGCACTGCAAAAACACTCACGAATAAAAGTCACGAAGAACCGTGTAAAGTTCATTCCAATGATCAAAACGTTAAATACCAGCAAAAATAATCAGAGCACTGCTAATTGGTGGTGTGGTTTAAAACGGGTAGCCGTGACAGAGAGAAGTGACCTATTGTGTGTAGTAAAGATTCATCGCTTTGGTTAATTGCGATCCTGGCTGACGGAGAGCAACAGAAACAAGACCCAAGCGGACGCGGTTCTCGTGTTCAACGAGCACGCATACGGATAAATGCTGTTTACCGGCGGCGAGGGAAGACGGTGAAGGGTAATAAAGCAGAAATGAGCTCTTTACCCGTATCTCAGCTCTACAGCGGTACGGCATGCAATATTCAGCCCATCGCATTGCTCTCACTCGAATATAGCCTGCGGCGACGAGTCCAGATGTGCCGACCTTCTCTGCTCTCCACTTGTTGAGAAGAAACAGGCACCGGCCGCAAATAATCTGAGCAAACGCCCTCCGCTCGGCCTCTGATAGCGGCACACACTCCAGAGCACCGTATCTTTGACAGACGGTCAGTGACAAGCGGCCACACACTCAAGCATCTCTGTACGAAACTGAGAAATAACACACACACTACCGAAGACAAACAGATATTCCCAATAAGTAACCTTTCTGAACAAAACATAAATATACATTAAATCATACAATAGCACATTAGGACGCACACTGAGCCTGTAATGATCAAACAGATGATATGAGGAAAAAAGAAAACACACAAAGGAATTACCACTCTTAAAATTATATAAGCTTATGGTAAACATAAATTAACCATTGATGTTTCTTTCCAATAACAGAAGGTTAAAGGTTTTACCTCTCTCTGCTGTTTTAATATTCCTTCTGCTTCATTCTTCGGCTGGTTGGAGTGGCGTTTTCTTCAGCGGCCTCGCTTGCACCTTGAGCAAAAGAGGAGAAAGAAAGTTCAATGAAATGACACTTTTTACTAGTTTATCGCAAACAACATTTCAGGTTCCCGTTGCGAACGTTGCATTATGCCTTGCAGACACAAACACCAAATCGAGCGTCACCGCCTTTTTAACGTTCATCAAAACAGAACTTTCGTTAGTTTATCGTAAACAAAGCGGCAATGGGACTTTTGAGTTCCTGTTGCGATGCACTTCATACTTCGTATTATCGCAAACACAGTCGTATTACGAATGCAGGCACATTTTAAAGTGCAAAACACACAAAAACAAGCATCCTCGCATTGTAAATGTTTCACGAAATGCCGCTTTCGCTAATTTATCGCAAACACAACATTTTGAGCTCCTGTTGCGATGCAATGCATTATGTTGCATTATGACTTGCAGACACATTTTATAATGCAAAAACACACCAAATCGAGCGTCACTGCCTTTTTAACGTTCATCAAAACAGAACTTTCGTTAGTTTATCGTAAACAAAACGGCAATGGGACTTTTGAGTTCCTGTTGCGATGCAATTCATACTTCGTATTATCGCAAACACAGTCGTATTACGAATGCAGGCACATTTTAAAGTGCAAAACACACAAAAACAAGCATCCTCGCATTGTAAATGTTTCACGAAATGCCGCTTTCGCTAATTTATCGCAAACACAACATTTTGAGCTCCTGTTGCGATGCAATGCATTATGTTGCATTATGACTTGCAGACACATTTTATAATGCAAAAACACACAAAATCGAGCGCCATCGCTTTTTAAAGGTTCAATGAAACGTCACTTTCGTTAGTTTATCGCAAACACAACTGCAATGGCACTTTTGAGCTCCTGTTGCGATGCAATGCATTATGTTGCATTATGACTTGCAGACACATTTTATAATGCAAAAACACACAAAATCGAGCGCCATCGCCTTTTAAACGTTCAATGAAACGTCACTTTCGTTAGTTTATCGCAAACACAACTGCAATGGGACTTTTGAGCTCCTGTTGCGATGCAATTCTTACTTGTGTCGTATTACGAATGCAGACACATTTTAAAGCGCAAAACACAAAAACAAGCATCCTCGCATTGTAAATGTTTAACGAAATGCCACTTTCGCTAATTTATCGCAAACACAACATTTTGAGCTCCTGTTGCGATGCAATGCATTATGTTGCATTATGACTTGCAGGCACATCTTATAATGCAAAAACACACAAAATCGAGCGCCATCGCCTTTTAAACGTTCAATGAAACGTCACTTTTGTTAGTTTATCGCAAACACAACAGCAATGGCACTTTTGAGCTCCTGTTGCGATGCATTACAGTATGTTGCATTATGACTTGCAGGCACATTTTATAATGCAAAAACACACAAAATCGAGCCTCAACGCCTTTTAAACGTTCAATAAAACGGCAATTTCGTTAGTTTATCGCAAACACAACAGCAATGGGACTTTTGAGCTCCTGTTGTGATGCAATTCTTACGTGTGTCGTATTACGAATGCAGACACATTTTAAAACGCAAAACACACAAAAACAAGCATCCTCGCATTGTAAATGTTTAACGAAATGCCACTTTCGCTAATTTATCGCAAACAGAACATTTTGAGCTCCTGTTGCGATGCAATGCATTATGTTGCATTATGACTTGCAGACACATTTTATAATGCAAAAACACAAAATCGAGCGTCACCGCCTTTTAAACGTTCAATGTAACGTCACTTTCGTTAGTTTATCGCAAACACAACAGCAATGGGACTTTTGAGTTCCCGTTGCGCTGCAATTCATACTTGTGTCGTATTACGAATGCAGACAAATTTTAAAGCGCAAAACACACAAAAACAAGCATCCTCGCATTGTAAATGTATAACAAAATGCAACTTTCGCTAATTTATCGCAAACACAACATTTTTGCATTATGACTTGCAGACACATTTTATAATGCAAAAACACAAAATCGAGCATCATCGCATTTTAAACATTCAATGAAACGCCACTTCCGTTAGTTTGACGAGTTCACACTTACATATAATTAGAGTGGATAAGATTAAATGCGTATTTGGCGTGCTCTCCGGGGGGAGGGTCGGAGTTTGGCCTGAGCCCAGAGTGCTCCCCCAATGTAAGTGTTCAGGAGAGAAGGGGCGGTGGAGGGATGCTGATAAGAGATTGCTGAATCTATATACACCTCTTATCATTGATTGCTACTCGTGTTAATTAACTGAACATGCTCCTCCCGAACTTTGTTAATAAGACATCATTTATCGCAAACACAACTGGACCTGTTGCGATGCAATGCATTATGTCGCATTACGATTTGCAGACACATTTTACAATGCAAAAACAGACCAAGTTAAGTCTCGTGGTTTTCTAAATGTTCAACGAAACACCACTTTCAGGAGTTTAATCGCTTCCTCGCCGTTTAAAAGGTTTTGTGCTGTCGGAAAGGAGTTTTATTCCTCCCTTTATCTTTGTGCTCATCCCTCTCTCCCTGCCTCGTAGACAAGCCTCGGCCTCCTCTTGGGACGCGGTTTCCACGACAACCAGCCAGCCAGCGGGCGGACATGATTCCTCGTCCTGACGGGACGCTTTAATTCGAGACTACCCAATCATAACCGCTGAGTGCCGAGAGAGGTCCCGCAAGGCCCCGGGGGCAGGGAGGGAGGGCCGAGTGACGCCCTCTCAGCTTTCGCTGCTAAAGCGAGTGGGAATTTGTGTAATGTACGACATTTATTCAACACACACGCGCTCCCTCATCGCAGACACTCCCTCCGTCAGATGCTTCATTAATCGGGCTGCATATAGCATAGCTGTGAGCTAACACTAGCGCTATCCCACCAGGGGATGCGACAGTACATTAGCCTCCATGTTAAGAGAGGGTGTGTGATGTATCGATATGGAACGGGGCGGTGCACTTGAGCGCACACTAACAAGAGTCTAAATGTAGCTGGTTTTCTCAGGCACTGGTCAGCGCAGCGACAGATGGCGGAGCATCATGGGGCAGGGCAAACTGGGAGAGGAAACACAGGAGCATCTTCATACACTCACCAATTTATTTATTTATTTAGTTAGTTATTTAACAGGGACAATGTACATTAATTGACATTACTGTAAATGCACCAGAATTAGCATCTGTTGTCCCTGGACAGATCTGAAAATTGTCTACCTAAAATGAACAATCTATACAGTTCAGGAGCACTGCACTTCATGCATCATAAACGTCTTCTTAATACACACAGAAACATGATCTACATTTAGCTAATTAATAATAATAATAATGCATTATAAAGGATGGCTTGATTTTTAATAAATGATAGTAGGATGATGCAAGCTAATAATAATATTAATTTTGAATTGATAATACACGCAGAAATATGTTTTATTAATTACTGATTGTAAGCTATTAAAAGTTTTTATTAATAATAATAAAATGCATTGTTAAGTTATTCATAATATACACTGAAACATTTCATTTTTAATAAATGACTGTAAACTAATACAATTTATTATTAATCATAATATTTTCAATAATTATGATGCATCATATTCATAACACATGCTCAAATATTTTATTTTGTAATAAGTTATTGAAATCTAATAGTAATAATAATCACCATCATCATCATCAAATATTGATCATGTGTTTTATTGCTTTAAATTGTCTGACAGTCTAATCATTTAGCCTTTAGCCTTTTTGTACCATTAAAAATGTGTGTGTGTGTGTGTGTGTGTATATATACATATATATATATATATATATATATACACATTATAATATAAAATATATACTAAAATGTATATATATATATATATATATATATATATATATATATATATATACATACACACACATTATAATATAAAATATATACAATTGTTTTGTATGAAATTAACATATTTCATGACAATTAAGTAAATTTACAAATACATTTAACACCCAAAATCTAATTGATCAATAAAATAAATTAAATTGTAAAAAAACGTTGGTAAAGTATGTTACTGTAGTGTTTGTAGTATCAAATTTAATTTAAAGTTGTGTCCAAAACATTTTTTTATTTTTGCATTAAGGAAAGAGAGGGTAAAATGTGTGTAATTGTTGGAACAAAAATATCAATGCAAATAAATAATTTATTTGTTTTGATATTAACTCGAATTAATTTCTGGACCAGCATGGATGTGAAATGTTCATGAGTGTAATCGAGGATAAACAGATACACACACCAAACGTGTGGCTAGTGTTTTTCCATCAGCGCTCCCTGAAGAGAACACACACACACACACACACACGCCCTCTTCATATCTCAACACTGACATGAAAGAAGAGCGAAGACTTTCACAAGAGAATCTGCCAACAGAGCATCAGTCAGTGATCTCAGTATATCAAACATTTATACTTTTACAATGTTCATTCTTTATCTGTAAATTCTAGGAGAAACAAAGTTGATATGAAACAACGGATGACTGCCCGAATAAAATAAAACAAGTAAACAAAAATAAATAAACATTATTAATGTTATCATTATGTTTATAAAGTAACACAACCTCAAAATGATTAAAAGCTCTTTAAAACGCTGGACATGTCCATGTGAACTCAGTGACGGTCTCCTTTTCTCCTCATCCCAAGCCACTCCGACTCGAGTTTTATTAGTGGGCCTGTTTCGGACAGATAAGTGCCACTATTATCCTTTTAAAATAGCCAGCTTTTCCATAACCCGCAAAATAGTAATTACGGCGCGCCTGCCAAATGAAAAGAGGCGCTGTTCTTGTTCAGTCGCTGGTGATCACACAGATGTACTCAATAACACCGTGACCCCAAACATCGCAACGCTGGAATCCTCCAAATAAATTAATTGTTTCGAGTTTTTTAATCAAAGTAATCTTATTGCCCTTCGCTGACATTGTGACATTTGGAACGGCGTTCGGCCGCAGATGGAGGACGGACACATCGGATTAATTACGATAAATCAGGCGCCCACACCTGTTTATGGCCGG